AAACCGGAAGTGGCGCTGTAGCTCAAGTGGTAGAGCGCTTGCCTTGAGCTGAAGAGCTGAGGGACAGCGCCCAAGCCCAGAGTTCAAGCCCCACGACCGACCAAAAAAAAAAAAAAAAAAGAAGGAGGGAAAGAAGGGCAAGGAAAGAAAACTGAAGTCAGATGTGATGGAGCACAAATGTAATCCCAGCTACTAAGGAGATTGAGATTTGAGGATTACAATTCCTAACTAGCCCAGGCAAAAAAAAAAAAAATGAGTGAGATCCCTATCTCAAAACAAGATTAAGTGTGGTGGTGCATACCTGAGATCTTACTTCCAGTAGAAACTTTAGTGGAAGGGTCCAGGTCAGCCTGGGAAAAAATGAGACTCTACCTGAAAAACAAAGCAGAAAGAGTGGAGGGCACAAGTTGTAGAGCACTTGTCCAGCAAGCAGGAAGCCCTGTGTTTTTAAAAAAAATGAATTAATTTAGGAGGAAAGAGATAGAATGAGAGAGGGGGAGGAAGGGAAGAATGGGAAGAGAGAGACAGAGAAAGGGAAGGATAGAGAGAAAAAAGGAGAGGGAGGGAGGGAAGAAGGAAGGAAGGAAAGAAGGAAAAGCAAAAGAAGGGGAGAGAGGAAAGAAGGAGAAAAGGCAGGCCGGTATCACAAGACATTTTCTTTGGCAAGAAAATGAGATTGGAAGTATGCTCAGACTTCTGTTTCATTTGCAATGTACTTTCATTCAAACAGAACAATACATTCATTCTGGTGAAGTGTCCTGACATTCAGAAGCTGTGTTTTGCCTAGGACTTACTGCCCACAGCTAGGATATTTCATATTCACATGAAGTTGAATGAGTTCATCTAATGGTTCTTTGGAACCCATCCACTATACAGAAGGTGCTGTGTCATTAGACCCTTGACCCAAGCTCCACTGTTGCCCCACAAAGAACATGAAGCAGGGTCGATGGGAGATGAGGCTTTAACTGCCCTTACATTTCCCAGAAGAGCTTGCATAAAAATGGGGGAACTATGACACTCCAACCCCACGTTGTTGCCATGTTGGGAGAGTAATGGGTCTCAGATATAATTGCCATCTTTGTATATAATCATCAGGGCTTTAAGGAAATGACATTTGCTAATGAAAAAGTCCATTCAGCTTTTGTGGAAAGGCTTACATCCTAACATGTTTTACTTTGTTCTCAGTGGGCATTTGGCGTGACCATGTGGGAAATCACAACACGGGGAATGACTCCCTATCCTGGAGTCCAGAACCATGAAATGTATGACTATCTTCTGCATGGCCACAGGCTGAAGCAGCCTGAGGACTGCCTGGATGAACTGTGAGTGAGGGTCTTGTGTCACTGGGCTTTGCATGGAGCAGCCACTGATTCTGTGCAGGCTTAGGGAAATGCGATCTTTGAAGGGATCTGTTGTTAGCTTGGTAGGCATATGCAGAAGGGGGCACCTATAGATATCTCAGTCTGACAACCATTCCAGATGTCAGAGGTAATGTATACACATCTCCAGTGAAACCACTGGCTCACTCATCCAGAAGGTCCCAGTTACATTGTCAAGATAAGACATGCTACTCAACTCTATAAGCATCTCTGGAAATATGTCTATGAATAAATAATATTGTATAAGAGGGACTAGAATAATTTAATACCCTCTTTAGTTCTACTTATCCGTCTCTTCCTATATCACATTTCAAACACATAAGTCACATTGATGTCCTTCATCAGGAGACTTAGGAATTTGAGTCACTAACTTTGAAATCAGGCTGGTCCTCAGAACTCAGTGTGTTTGTACATGTGTGTACCAGTACTGAGTCTTGAACTGAAAGCCTCATGTTCTCTCCTAGCTTTTTCACTCAAGGTTGGTGCTACACCACTTAAGCCATACCTCTACTTCTGGTTTTTTGCCAGTTAATTGGAGGTAATACTCTTTTGGATTTGTTTGCCTAGGCTGACTTTGAACCAGGGCCCTCAGATCTCAGACTCATGAATAGGTAGGATTGCAAATGTGAGCCATCTGTTCCTGGCTTGCTTGGGAGACAAGCTATTCTAACAGTGCAATTCCTTAACCCATAGCCATGGACACATGCTATTGGTACAAAGTAGACCTAGAAATGTGTGTTCTAAAATGCTCCTGAGACAGTGCTCAGCTAAGTGTGAATGTTCTCCGCTCCTGCTACAGTATACATTCTGTCTCACTCTGTCCCTCTCTGTCTTCAATGCCAGGCTCTTTGGCAAAGAGATGTAGGTTTAAGGGTAAGACAGCTCAGGCTCTCCCTCCTGGCTAGCCATGTGTAACTTAGCCTCTCTATGCTTCATATTATCAGCCATGAAAATAACATTGTCCCTATGTTCTTCAGAGAGCTGCAGTGAAGGTCAAAGAAGTGTCTGCAATGTTCAGCTGGTAGGAGTCATGCAGAGGAATGCTCATGCAATAACACTAAATGCAATAGCATCATTTCAGGTTGTTCTCCCCCAGCCATCTTTTTCAGAATGATATCTGTGAGAAGCTGTCTGTAGCCTGATTCTGTGAGCCTTCTTCTCAGTGTCTCCCATATAATGAAAGCCCTGGGCCTGGAGAGAGGCATTCTATTTTTTTTTTTCTGCAAGTCCTAGGGCTTGAACTCAAAGCCTGGGCACTGTCTCTGAGGTTCTTTTGCTCAAGGCTAGCACTCTACCACTTGAGCCACAAAGCTACTTTCAACTTTCTCTGTTTATGTGTTACTGAGGAATTGAACCGAGGGCTTCATGCAAGCTAGGCAAGCACTTTACCACTAAGCCACATTCCCAGCCTCAAAAGGGACATTCTTACCACACATAGCAAGAATACTGCAGGTCCCTGGGCCTGTGCCAGCTCAGCCATGGTAGCACCATGCTGGGACACTGGTTGCAGAGCCTCAGGGCTGCCCTAAGCTATGTCCGCTTTACCTTACATTGTGGAAAGGGCCTAGATCAGTTTGTATGCAGCCTCCTAGGTCCAAAAGCCAAACACAACTTTTGATCCAAGCCATTCCCTGCTTGATAATGGTTATTATTGTGGCTCACGATGTCTAACATTAAACCGAAACAAGCCCTGCAGATCCCATAACCACATTTTGAAATCCTAAATTAAATTAGCTCTAGGGGTTTCACAGTAGTTTTCTAAAAGGCTGTGTTAATGAAATGTTTGCTTCTGAAAAGAAGGTAGCCTTTCAGTCCGACAATATTGAATGAGAAGAGCTTCATTAACTTTCCCAGTGTGCCACCAGAGTTGACATTAGCTGTGATTAACTTGGGTCTCCCCAAAGTCTGAGCTGTGTCTCATTGTGGGTTTTGGATGTTTTACATGAAACCAAAATGAGGGAGTGCTGAGTCAGTGTTCTCTGAGAACAGAGAATAGTGGCAGAGTCAACCCCTGCCATGTGGCTGGGCAGCCAGGCAGATGCAAACAGCCATGATCCCCACACTCCTACTGGCTTTGTGCCCAGCGTTTGCGGACACAGATGTGGCCAGCAGGCTGGTGAACCAGGCCTTCTTCCTGGACCTGCTCTGACATCTGGATGCTGGTGAGCAGCAGTGTCATTCCATTCCTGAGGTATTTCCTTCCAAAAATGATACTCTGAGCTTCTTCTCATCTAGGATTGCTATTTCCGCATAGTTAAGATGAATTCATTCCATATTCAGTTGCTGTTTGTTTGTTTTTAAGCAATGGTATGAAATATAATAATATTCATCATAGAGCCGTTTGTGCCCTGCTCTCCCAACCTGCCACTCAGAGGGTCATTTCTCTCACACACATATCCCACCTTGGAGTGACCAGGTTGCAGGCCTGCTTTCTGTTTCCCAAGATGCCATTCTCTATGCCTCTGTCAACATCCCTGGGACATCATTTTCCCAATTAAGTTCATTACAGTCTCCTTCAGCCTCAGAGTCCTTCCCACCGGCTGGCCACCACAGTACATGATCCTAGCACTCACTCAGTCTACCGGTACAACACAAGACTTAGCCTGCTCTTTGCTCCCTGGGCCCCATTAGGCTGCAGATATCCTTCCTCTTTTGTTTCCATCTCTGATGCTGGTAAACCATAGAAACCCATGGCTGGGTGGGGCCTGGGGTTGTCCTCTTCCACTCTCTCATCACAGTGGCATCATAGCAAACAAGTGAGTAAGCAGGTACAATGCAGATCCATCATTCTCCCTGCTCCTCACCACCAGGCACCCTAAACATTGTTAGGGTAACAATCAAAATGTACCTTTAACATTGTAAGCTGAGTATAGCTCAGAGGTAGAGTGCATGCCTAGTATGCACAAGGCCCTGGGTTTGATCCCCAGTACTGTGGATAGATGATAGATAAATGGATGGTTGGTAGATAGCTAGATAGAAGATAGATAGATAGATAGAATTATGGTCTTATTATAGAGTAATGGCAGGCTGACCGTGACTGTGAGGAGCCTAGCCCAGGCCCAGAGAGAAACTGGTTACAAGTGGCAGTGGACCAAGTAGCATTGCTACTTGGAACAAATCCTGTCTTTTCACAGCAAAGACATGTACACAGCTAATGGAAGGCAAGCAGCAGTTCTGGAAACAGACATACAGCTGTAATCTACCATCTCAGAGGCAGAACAAAACAGAGGCCTAAAAACTCTGGGTAACTTCATAAATCTATGCATTTGGTAAATTAATCTGATGACATTTTAAAAATTGTGGTAAAATAAATGTAACATAAAATGTATTAACCACTGATATACAGCTTAGTTGTATGCAATGCATTCATACTGTCCCATCGCCATACCACCATCCACCACCAGAACCCTTTTCATCATAGGTAACTAAAACCCTGATCCCATCCAATATTCCCCTTCTCCCTCTATCCCTTTGCTTCTGACAGTTGTATCTTTTAAAAAAATTTCAATGGAATAACAAAAATGGCCATGACAATGGCGGTTCCTAAATCTACATTTTTTTCTATCCATAAAATTTAACGGTCATCCTGACTTTCTTTTATTTACAAGGTGCAGGACCTCTTGTTAATTGCCTCAGTTCATTATTATGAAATAACTCTTGTGCAACTAGGAAACAAATTTGAGTCACCAGTGCCCGATTCATGCTCCGCTTGTGTTCTCTTCCTTCCCCTCCTTCCCTCTTTCTCTCCTTCCTTCCTTCTTCCTTCCTTCTCTCCTTCCCAACTTCCCTCCCTCCCTCCCCCCTCTCTTCCTTTCTTTCTTTTTTTGAGTTTTTCTCCCATTTATTAAAGTTGGGTTCTTTCTAGAGTATATTTTATCAAATTATCTATTTTTTTCTTTTTTTCCCTTTCTTTTTTTTATTGTGAAAATACCATACAGAGAGGTTACGATTACATGGGCAAGATAATGAGTACATTTCTTGTCAAGCATTATAGCCTCCTCCTTTGTTTCCCCATACATCCCTTCCCCTCTCCACCCCTACACCCCCCTACCACCCCAACCCCCCACCCAGCCAAAGTTGTAAAGTTTGTTTTTTCAACATAACATCTTGTACATCTCATTGTTGTAATGGGTCCACCTGTAACCCTATTTAAACAGTTTGTTTTTTCCCTTCCCCTCCACAAACTATATCAACATCAAATACAGTGAAAGCAGGGCTTATACCCTGGGGGAGGTACATACAAAGCAACGAAGAAATCATCTTATAAATATGTTGGAAACAATCACAAGAAAGAAAAAAAATTGAACCCTTATCTTGGGGTTCATTTCACCTAATATCAACTTATCTGACAGTTTCTGTTTGTCTCAGACAAACTAGTTATTGCAACTAAGGGAAACCATGGGACCTATATTTCTTTTTTTTAATTGTTGTGAAAATACTGTACAGAGGGGTTACAATTACATGGGCAAGATAACGAATACATTTCTTATCAAGCATTGTTGCCTCCTCCTTTGTTTCCCCTACCTATCCCTTCCCATATCCCCACCACCACCCGATCCTCCATCCTCCCCCACCAAAGTTGTAAAGTTTGTTTTTCAACATAAGGACTTGTACATCTCATTGTTGCAATGGGTCCACCTGTATCTCTATTTAAACGATTTGTTTTTTCCCTTCCCCTCCACAAATTATACCAACATCAAATACAGTGAAAGCAGGGTTTATACCGTCGGGGAGGGACATACAAAGCAACAAAGAAATCATCTTACAAATATGTTAGAAACAATTGCATGAAAGAAAAAAACATTTGAATACTTATCTTGTGGTTCATTTCCCTAACATCAACTTATCTGACCTTTTCTGCTTGACTCAGACATATACCAGTTATTGCAAATAAGGGAAACCATGGACCCATGTTTCTTTGGGCCTGGCTTACTTCACTTAATATAATTTTTTCCAAGTCTTTCCACTTCCTAACAAATGGGGCAATATCATTCTTTCTGATGGAGGCATAGGATCCTATTGTGTATATATACCACATTTTCTTGATCCATGCATCTACTGAGGGGCATCTGGGTTGGTTCCATATCTTAGCTATGGTAAATAATGCTGCAATAAATATAGGTGTGCTGGTAGTTTTAGTGTGTTTGTGATCATTTGGGTAAATGCCCAAAAGTGGGATTGCTGGGTCATAGGGGAGCTCTATGTGGAATCTTTTGAGGAACCTCCATACTGCTTTCCAAAGTGGTTGAACAAGTTAACACTCCCAACAATAATGCAGTAAAGTTCCCTTCTGTCCACACCCCTCCAGCGTCTGTTGTTATTAGAGTTCTTGATTATAGCCATTCTAACTGGGGTGAGGTGGTATCTCAATGTTGTTTTGATTTGCATTTCTTTTATGGCTAGGGATGTTGAGCATTTCTTCATGTGTCTATTGGCCATCCTTCTTTCCTCTTCAGAGAAGTTTCTCTTTAAGTCTTTAGCCCACTTATTTATTGGGCAGTTGTTTCTTTGAGGATTTGTTGTTGGGGGATTTAATTTTTTGAGTTCCAGGTATATTTTAGATATGAGACCCTTGTCTGTTGTATGGCTAGTGAAGATCTTCTCCCAATCCGTGGGCTTTCTATTGGTCTTGCTAGCTGTGTCCTTTGCTATACAGAGGTTCTGCAATTTCATGCAATCCCATATGTCCAATCTTTCTTTGATTTGTTGTGTTTCCGGGTCTCTATTCAGAAAATTTTGGCCTGAGCCAAGGAGACCTGGGTTTTTTCTTTTTCCTTCTTTTATGTTTTCAGGGTTTCTGCTTTGACTCCAAGGTCTTTGATCCATTTGGAGTTGATTCTGGTGCAGGGTGATATATAAGGATCTAGCTTTAGTTTTCTACAAGTAGTTAACCAATTTTGCCAGCACCATTTACTGAAGAGGCTTTCTTCCATTCTATTTTTTTAGCTCCCTTATTGAAGATTAGATGGCTATAGGTCTGTGGGTTCATTTCTGGGTTTCCCATTCTATTCCATTGGTCCCTTTCTTTCTTTCTTTGTGTGCCAGTCTTAGTGCTTGAGCTCATGACCTGGGCACTGTCTCTTGAGATTTTTTTTTTTTGCTCAAGGTTTGCACTTTACCACTTGAATCACAGCTCTATTGTTGCTGATGTTGTTTGTTGTTTTTGGCAGCTAATTGGAGATAAGGATATCACAAACTTTCTTGCTCTGGCAGGCTTCAAACCACTATCCTCAGATCTCAGCTACCTGTGTATCTAGGATTACAGATGAGAGTCACCAGCACCTGGCTCATGTCATGTCGTTTTCTTATCTAGTGACATTAATACCAATTTCTTCACACAGGAAAGAATGAGATGGTATATCTCAGTTTCTGAGCCAGGTGATTCTTGACTGTTCTTTCTGTTTTGTCATGTTCCTTTAAATGCATCTTCATTGTAATTCTTATTGACCTTGAACACTGGGAATTAATTTACCACCAAGAAGAGAAGGTTGTCCCCTATAGAACTTAGCAGACCTGCCCAATCTGAATCAGACTCCCCTCCCTCTCCTGCTATCATGTTGCCAGTGTACACTCTGTAACTTGCCTGGTCCACTTCATTATTCTACAAAGTGGTATGACAGGGCTGTTGGGAAGTACAGAAGGAGCAATACATAGTTTCCCCTCATTCTTACTGCTTCTATACTACCCCTAGCTGCCCCTAGGGCTCCATCTAATTCAGCACTCTTAGTACCAAACCAGCTTGATGGTGTAGAACAGAGATTGGGAAACTTTTTTAAAATAACAAACCATAAGTATTTTGGGCTTTGAGCCCTTTGTAGCACCTGCTTAACACTGCCATTGGAGAAAAAAGGCATCATAGTCAACTCATAAACAAATAGGCATAGCTGTGTCCAATAAAGCTTTATTTACATAGAAGTATTGGGCCAGATTTGGACCCAGGCCGTAGTTGGCCAAGCATTATAGAAAGAAGAGGACTTTAAATGCTCTTTATTTGCAAAGGAATGTAAAAATGCCACATCCATGTTCTATTCTTGAATACAGAATAGTTTTCTTTTTTTGGGGGGGTCCTGTCATGGGGCCTGAAATCTGGGCCTGGGCGCTATCCCTCAGCTCTTCAGCTCATGGCTAGCGCTCTACCACTTGAGTCACAGCACCACTTCCGGCTTTTTTCTTTTTTTGCTTATGTGGTGCTGAGGAATCGAACCCAGGGCCTCATGCATGCAAGGCAAGCGCTTTACCACTGAGCCACCTTCCCAGCCCCCTACAGAATAGTTTTCTTGTCAAATACCCATGAAGCATTTACAAATGTTGAGTAAGGATTGTACCACTCCCTTGAAAAACTATCTCAAAGCCAGGTGCTGGTGGCTCATACCTGTAGTTCTAGCTACTCAGGAGGCTGAGATCTGAGGATCATCACACAAAGCCAGCCCAAGCAAGTAAGTCCATGAGACTCAGGTCTCCAGTTAACCACCAGAAAGCCATTAGTGGAGCTATGATGCAAGTGGTAGAGAGGAAAACTGGCATTGAGGAAAAATGCTCAAGGAGAGATCCCAGGCCCTGAACTCAAGCCCAGGGACCAGCACACATAAAAACAACAACAGAATCTCAATAATTTTCATAAAGGGAAAAATGCTGAATAAAATGTAATACTGATGAAAGGTTAAATGAAGACCAAGCGGTGGGTGGCACTAATGGGATGGGTGCTGTGGCAGGAGATGCTCATTTGTCTCTCACTCTCAGGTATGAGATCATGTACTCTTGCTGGAGCACCGATCCCTTGGACAGACCTACCTTTTCTATGCTGAGACTGCAGCTAGAAAAACTCTTGGAAAGTCTGCCTGATGTGGAGGACCAAGCGGCCATCATCTACATCAACACACAGCCTCTAGAGAATGATGAGGGCACTGCCGAGGGGCCGGCACTTGCTCATCTGGACATGAACATTGATCCTCACTCCATCATTGCTTCTTGCACTCCGAGTGGAACTATTAGCGTGGTCACAGCAGAAGTTCATGAGAGCAAAGCTCAAGAAGAAAGGTACATCATGAACGGGGGCAGTGAGGAATGGGAAGATCTGGCTTCTGCTTCCCCTGCTGTGCTTGTGGCTGGAAAGGACAGTGTTTTATCAGAAGACAGACCTGTGAGGAATGGGGTTTCCTGGTCACACTGTAGCACACTGCCCTTGGGGAGCTCATCAGAGGACAAATTTTTGTTTGCTGATGACTCCTCAGAAGACTCAGAGGTCCCAATGTAAGACATTGTTGCCTGTCACCAAGTTGAGAGGAGACATTGCAAAACCAAGTGAATTCTCCTTTTTGAGTAGACTTCAGTTGTGCCTCAAGTGCCTGGTATTTGTTGGTTTCTTTGTATTGTTTTTAACCAAGTAAACTCCATGATCGAGACCACCCGATGAATGTTGCCAAGTAAGTCTTCTTCAGAAATAATGTAAGAGGAAGCTGGGAATAGTGGTATATTGCTGTAATCACAGCACGCTGGAGTATCTGGCAGGAAGATTTGCAAGGTCTAAGCCCACTTGAGCTACATGACTAGAACCCATCTCAGAAAACAACACATAATAGGACTAGGGGCATGGCTCAATGGGAGAACACAAGCTTAATGTGTGTGAGGTCTGTGTTCCATCCCCAGCACCACAAGAAATAAAAATATATAATATATATTTATTTAAAGAGAAAAAAATATATGTATATATGATGGAAAGAATCAAGCATGTTTTATTTTAATAAGACTACTTATTTTATGTCATTCTTTCTTGTAGATCTTACAATGTAAGCTTCAGCTATTCTTCAGTGCTAACAGGTCTACAAAGTTGTTTATTTTGGAAGTCCTTTTCTTTTGTGAAACTATTAAATGTAAAATACTTGTAAAATGAAATACCATATTTGACTTCACATCTGGTCTTCATGAGAAATGTCTTGTGCCCTCATGAATCATGTGTTTGATCAGAATAATTTTGTTAATGTTTCAAGTTTTATAACCAGTTAATGATTTGCTACAACTTCCTAATAAAACATGAATGAGGAAGCGTGTGGTGAATTTACTTCACATGTGGAACAACCGGCCACCAACAACCCTGGGACATTTGCAAAGGGGTTCTCTTAATGCCTGGCCCTCACACTGCTTGTTCCTCCCATTCCTGCACTTTTTAGAGATAGGAAAAGAGTCCATAGATGAAGAAAAAGATAATAAAGGATTAAAAAACCTAATCTGGTTAGAAGGGGTTCAAATAAGCTGTACAAGAGATTTTTTTTTCTTTTTGTCAGTTGTGGGGCTTGAACTCTGGGCCTGGGCGCTGTCCCTCAGCTCTTCAGCTCAAGGCAAGAGCTCTACCATTTGAGCTACAGTGCCACTTCTGGTTTTCTAGTGGTTTATTGGAGATAGGAGTCTCATTGTCTTTCCTGCCCAAGCTGGCTTTGAACCGTGATCCTCAGATCTCAGCCTCCTGAGTAGCTAGAATTACAGGTGTGAGTCACCAGCGCCCCGCTTGTACAAGAGATTTTGATGGGTAGAACACGTTTCTGTTTGGGAAATGCCACTCAGAAGGTGGGCAAGACAAACAGTAGGGCACAGGCTCTACAGTTCCTATCCTGGCTCTCCCACTTCAAACAACCATTGTTGGTTGAGCCCTTGCCAATGTGTCAAACACTGTATATGAACTGTCCTGTTCAATCTGAGCATCATCATACCACTGTTCCAATGCCATCACCATGTCCAAGCCAGAAACCAAGGCTTGAAGAGATTGAGTGATTTTGCCAGTGGCCCCAGTGTAGAGAACAGTAGAGCTTGAATTTAAAACATTTTATTAAGGCTATGATTTGGGAACTGATCTAGTCAGCATCACACTGCAGCAACAAAATTCCCAAGGGAATTAATTTATTAAAGAGAAGAGTTGTTTAGCTTACAATTTGGAGATTATGATCCAAGATCAAGCTGTCGTTGACTGGGCCTCTAATGGGGATGGCAAATGGCACATGTTGGAGGAAGTGCTTTGAAATATTCTGCTTGAAAAGTCCTAAGAGTCTAGAAAAAGTCTGTATAACTATAAAAAAAAAATTCCAGCAGTACATTTTATTAGTAAAAGAACAGAAAGAAGAATAGAAAAACGAAGGCACAGTTACATCATATAAAGACATTGTTCAAAATTTTAATGGTTATATTAAAAAATCAGTAAAATATTTTTATTACCTGCTTGTTCAAAATTTCTTGTTGATAGTAACAGTAAAGAATTGAAAGAACTTGTCGTGGTAGCTTGTGACTGTAGTTGAAAGAGGAGGAACCCACACATCCATCCCAGGGGACCACACAGAGTCAGGCAGGCACAGGAGAAAGATTATTATAAGGTTTATTAGAGGAGCCATATTTCCCCCAAGAGGGAGCACATAGCCTCCATCCCCGTCCAGGTAGCAGGAGGGTCTGAGGGAAAAGGAAGTAGGTAGGTGGGAGTTCAGGTGGGTCTGGGTGGAGAGTGGGAGAGGCCATCTGTATGGCGGGAACTCCAGGGATGGGAGGGCCCCCCCCCAATCTGGGTGGAGCTGAAGACCAAAGGTGAGCATAATACAAACAGTAGTCCCAGCTACTTGGGAAGCTGATTCGTGGCTCTTTAAATCTCACTGACAACCTTGCATCTACAGTGTTCTTAAACATATTTGAATGTTTAGAAGTTTGGAAAGAACTAACTTTGAAACCATCCAATCATTGGCAGACTCTTGTTGACAGTATACTGAAAACAGGCTTTCCTGTGTTCTGTTGGATACACTCAAATGACTTTTATAAAAAGTGGCTTCTATGGGCAAAAAGTGGGTAAGAGAAAACAGGAAGAAACAAGTCAGTCATTGTCTTCAGCTAAACTGGGACTAGGGTTGGAGAGTTCAAGAGGACAAGGAAATAAACAAATACCAGACATACTCGTGACCTACCGGTTGAAACTAGCTTGACCTGCTAAGAGATTTTCTTCTCTTTTTTGCTTTCTTGATTTCCTGGCAGAGTAAGGGGAGAAGCAAGAACCAAAGCATCTCCTCTGAACAAGTCAAAGCACTCTGCTCTGTGAGCTGAGCTGTATAGGCACAGGCAGGGCTGGAAGGAGTATCCCTAAGCATTGTTGGGGCCGCTTGGCTTTTCCTAAGGCTGCTTTTCTTCCTGGGTAGAGGGAAGATGGCACCCTCTTCTGAAGCCTTCCATGCAAAGAAAATGCAAGAGGTTTGAAAGAACCTACACTAGAAGGAGGCTTTCCCAAGTTTGACTTGCCATTCTTTATACAGTGCAAACCTGTTTTCCTTGATTGTGTTATCGCCTCCATCCAAAATAATACAAACTCACTCAGAAAACAAAAGACAGGCTCGGGTTTAGTTCTGTGGTAGAATGTATGCTTAGCATGCATTCAATTCCCACCACACAAAATAATGACTGTATAATTTAATTTAAAAAGAGATTTGCCTTAACCAGTGTTGCATACAGTTGAGGTGTTCAGAAAAGTGAAGGACAATGGTTGTATTTCTCACCTAAAATGGCTTTAGGACTCAGGAGTAGGCATGATCCTTCCTCCTTTGAATCATGTCCAACAGGTTACTGCTTGTAGAGCTTTGGTGGGGAGGCCCACTTGTTATAGTAAGCAGTGGAGACAAGCAGTGAATATGCAGGACTTGGGGATATGTGGTTCAGTGTGCCACCTGGCCAGGGGAGATTCTGTCTCTGTCTTCATGTCCATTAGATCAAGCAGAAGTTCCCTACCCAGGAAACAGATCAAACTACCATCTCTCATCTTCCAGCCCAGGCTAATTCTGGCAAGACAAGTGAATGTTAGCACCCACTGTAACCACTCCAGTCAATGGCTGGAACTTCTGCTGAATCGATGGGAAAATAACGGATCCCCAAATAAACCAGCTACACCAGCACTTTGACTTCTCTAAAGATGTTTAGTTACTTCTGGTGATAAATGGGAAAACAGGAAGTTTTGTTGCCTTGAATGAACGTTTTAGTAACACACAATATTCCTATGTTTCAATCTAACTTTTCTTTCTTTTAAATAAGAATAGCAGCAGAACTACCAATGTTTAGCACTCATTTTTAACAAGCATATTTTTTTTTCCTGCTAGTTGTGGGGCTTAACTCAGGGCCCTGAGCTTTTTTCATACAAGGCTAGTGTTCTACCACTTTGAGCCATAGCGCCACTTTTGGTTTTCTGGTGGTTAACTAGAGATAAGAGTCTTTCCTGCCTAGGCTGGCTTTGAACTGCAATCCTCAGATCTCAGCTTCCTGAGAAGCTAGGATGATAGGTGTGACTCATTGGTGCCCAGCAACAAGCATAATTTTTTAAAAAGCATAATTGCTTAATGTATTGATATGTAAGTGTAATGATTTTTAGAAACTGTAACCCCAGTTATTAGAATAGCTTCATGTACAATTTATTTTTATTATATTTTATCTATTATCCCATTTCTAGAAATTTGAAAGAGAAACAAGAATATGAATTAGCCGTTTCTATCCCTTTAGAATATGATCATTTTAATTAACTTATTGAGACTATAACTATAAAATCTAATTAATAGAATTTCTTCAAGTAGCAGTCATAAGGGTACATGACCTACTCTCCCACTTACAAATATTCAGAGAGAGGAAAACTGTTCTGGGCATTGGGATAAGTCACAGCCTTTTTAAGTGCATTCCTCAGAGGGCTCTGACTTGTGCATTTTGTTAAAATCTACCAGTGTCACAGTGAAGCAGACCAGCCAAGTGTGAAGCTGCTGTTTAGAGTAAGAAACCTTAGAAGTAGTCATCAGTTACCTTTGTAGAAACAAGCTCTGAGACCTTGCCCTGCATGGCTCCCTTAAAGAGCCATAAATTTGGGTTTGCAAACTAAATTCCATTATACCAATAAGCCTTAGCTTATATAGCAGTTCAAAGAAATTAGGCTGATGCTTTGCCTTTACATCTGCTAAAGGTTTGGGTTTTTTTTTTGTTTGTTGTTGTTCATGGTGGTTGTGGGGCTTGAACTGGGGGCCTGGGTACTGTCCCTGAGCTCTTTCGCTTCTACCACTTTGAGTCACAGTGCCACTTTGTTCTGGTGGTTTATTAGAGATAAAGAGTCTCACAGACTTTTCTGCCCAGGCTAGCCTTAAACCCTGATCCTCAGATCTCAGCCTCCTGAGTAGCTAGGGTTACAGATGTGAGCGACTAGCACCAAGCTGAAATTTAACCATCAGTTTCTCCTGTATAAAATGTGTAACTTGGGGGGGCTGGGGGGGGAGGCTGGGAAGGGATGTGAAGGGTAAACAAAGGAGGAGGCTGCAATGCTTGATAAGAAATGTACTCATTATCTTGCCCATGTAATT